GCAGTTGTCAAGAACAAAAGCTCGTCCGCATAAAAACTCGTGAACCAATGCTTATAACGGATACACCAGCCAAACCGTAGGTCCCCTTCCTATGACCCCTAGTGGAAATCGGCATATGTTAACTATTCAATGTCACTATCAAAATTCTGTATGGCAATTCCATTACCAGATATTCGTGCGCTTACCGTCGCCGACGCTTTGTCGCGCTATTTCATCGCAATTTTCGGAGCACCGCGCGCTATTCTGACCGACCGCGGAAAATGTTTCATCAATAATCTAATGCAGGGCATAGCTCGCGTATTTAGAATAAACCACGTTACAACATCTGGTTACCGTCCCCAGACTAACGGCTCACTAGAAAGGAGCCATATCGTTCTTACCGAATATTTAAAACACTATTTGGAAAGATACGAAGACTGGGATTTGCTATTGCCCTTTGCGACCTACTCGTACAACACTTCGGTACACGAAGCGACGAACTTTACCCCGTACGAAGTAGTATTCGGTTAGTTAGCCAGGGATCCATTCACGCCGCTGTTTCAGGACGAAATTGCAACATATCCTTCATACGTACAAAATTTGGTTCAACGCCTAGATGAAATTCGGTCAATGACACAGAAAAATATAGATGAAAAGAAATTACGTTCAAAATTATATTACGATCGCAAAAGTAACGAAGTTAATTTCAAGCCAAATGATCTCGTCTATGTATTAAAAGAACCGCGAATAGGAAAATTCGATTCACACTACGAAGGACCCTTTAAAATTTGCGATACCACCGAACAGAATAACGCTATTCTAACAAAGGAAAATGGTCAGAAATTCATGAAACACTTCGACAAATTAAAACATACTCACTCCAAAGAAAAATCGCCTTGAGGATAACGGATATCGGTCAACCATAACCGACATGATAATACTAACTACTTCGAACGAAGTCAACGCGAATAAATTAAATAATTATTAGTAAAAGTTTAGTTAAAGTTAAATCTCATTTCGTAACGCAACATTCAAATTCCCCGTACTTCGAACGGCAAGCGTTTGCAACACACGCACTGTCGGCAAATTCGTACGATGCCGACGTTGTGGCAATATTTCGATAACCAAATATTGCAAGCCTAGCAAAGGTTAAGAAAGCTACTTAGACTCTTTTCTATCGACAGGAATTTCTCACTAGAATTTATCGGGACAATTAGCAACGCTCTTTTTGGAACACTTACGGAAGACGACGCAAAATATTACAATCAGGAAATAGATAAAATTTATAAGGATCAAACGCATTTATCACAATTATTGGGTAATCACACACATAATTAGATCAGAATTTCAAGACATTCATCAAGATTTACTAACTCTCAGGAATTCATCCTTGAGAATGAGCAATAGAATAAAAGAAATAGCCACAGGATTACGAGAACTCAACGAAGTCGAGGCAGAAATGGAAATAGAGAGGGCCGCAACATTTTGGACAAATCAATTAGCAAGACACGTAGATGAATATCTTCACGCTTTACAAATACTGACAGATGCAATAATGTTTGCTAAATTAGGAATATTGCACCCCGCAATACTATCACCCGACCAACTCGCAACTACATGCACCCAGATAAATCAGTCAACACTATACGAATTCCCTCTATCTTTAACGGAACTACATTCAGAGGAATTTTATAAAATAATTTCAATCAACACCGCGTACTCGAATGGAAGAATAGTAATATCAATAGAAATTCCTCTACTGGACAAAACACCTTTTACCCTTTATCATTTACACCCATATCCTTCCTTTCTACCTATATCCCACAATATCTCTACTGCCATGGTCGTAGTCCCACAAACACCATTCTTGGCAATTAATAGGATCCATCAGGATATCTTCCTGCCCACGGAAAATTTTATGCAAGGATGCAAGACTCATCCCGATAAATATGTTTGCCAACTCACATTACCATTATATCTTAACAAAAACACAAACCATAGAATGGAAAAAATGTAACGTCAGATCTTTAAAATCAACTCATACGTTCACTAACCACCTTTCAACTCCTACACGTGGTTGTATTCTGTCAGGGAGAAAACGCCAGTGAAAATCAAATGCAATCACCGCGCAGCAGGGTATGAACTAGTACAGGACTCCAGAATTTTGAAACTGAAAAAGAACTGCCAGGCACAAATCGACAACTTAAAACTTGTCGCATCAGAAACAACAACACTTCGAATGAATTCAACGTTTAATCCATTTTTAACACTAAACATAACATAATTGATACCACAAATAACACCCCATCACGTAAAAATAATATCCGACTACCAACTACACAACATACCAATAGGAACGTTATATGACAAAGCAAACGAAAAATCCATAGCGCTAACAGAAATAGAACGCCAGGCCCAAGATCTGGCAACGCACCACCGTACTCAACGGTTAACAACATATACGATTTATGGGGCGCTATAGTAGGAGTGCTAATCTTTGTAATTGGAATATTATGGATTACTAAAAGAAATTGCAAATATATCTGCGAAAAGAGATCCAAACCTAATAGAAAACAAAAAGAAGAAATAGAAATGAGAACAAAAGAACAAACACGAGCAAGAAACATCGGAACACCGGGTATAAGGCCAATAATCTCACCTCCAATATGCATTACCGAAATTCCAAGCATATGCCCGGCAATAGCGGAAGAGTTACCAAAACCAGCCACGCAAGCACATTTTTTCTAAAGCAACAGGTAAAATAAATCAGATCAGAAACCACACATTCTACCCCATTTATGCCCAAATCAATCACTATATAAACTCCTGCATTATCGCTCAAAAGTCATTAACAGTCAAACCATTTAAAGAGAAAGTACCCGCACAAAGCACCTAAAGGAAAAATGTGATTTATCAGACCAAAAAATGGTATGCATTTTGAAATCATAGACATCGAGATCAACTCTCCCCGAGTTACAATCCGCAATTAGCAAATTTTTAATTTTTTTTTCGCTCTCTTCTCCCTTCAACCTCAAACAGCTACCCTACCAATATTCAACGACACACGGATGCCGCGTCTGAGCACCCCGGCAGAAAGAGTGCTACCTGCGCATATCCTGGGTCAACTCAGGAAAAGAGAGTGCATACAGGGATACACTTGGATGGCAAGGGACGGCACTAAGGTCTGCGACGGGTGCCATTGGACACTCTCCGAAGGTGAGGCCGCAAGTTACGAACCAGCCTACATGCGCCAACTGGTGGAAGAGGGCCGCAGGGCCCACACAGCGGCCTCATGCGGAAAATGCAGGAGACGCGCACTAAACCCGGGAAACCCGGAGGAGTGCTTCGCGTGCACCGGCACGATAGCCAGGACGCCCTGGATGGAATTGGCAGTACGGCCATACATTACGGTACCAGGACCGAGGACTCCCCCCTTACCCGAATACTTAGGCTAGTCATAAACATAAACCCTCACCCTTTATATTATACCCTTGGTACATGTATTATATTTTACTACTAACATATTAGTTCTAACGGAATTATATTTTATTACACTTATATATATTTATACTCGTTCAACATATTATTTCATAGTTTATTCATTTATAACGAAATTATATTTTATTATATTTATAGCATATACGTATATTATTAATGTGGGATTAAACAAGAGGAGTTTCTATGATGTTAGGAACATAGACGCGTAAATTATTGTACCCCATCTCACGAATTTATCATAGACATTTCATATTTTAATATATTAAACCTATTGAAAAGAAAAAAAAATTTCGACAAACAAAACCATTCGGACTAATATTATAGTTAACGCCATAACAATCTTTAGTAACAATGTGCAGTTTGGCAACACACGAGTTGGAGCACCTGCTTTACACAAGAGAGCCTCTTGAGACTGTCTTGTGTCTGGCGAGGGGCGTGTAACGTGCGGCCCTACCGAACGGTGCCACACATCGTCAATTACCAACCCTTTAGGAATGCGCATGAACCACGATTCGGAAATCGTGGCACTAAACCAAGTCGCGTGAACCGCGACTCAGCAAACGGGTGTCAGCGATATTACGCTGTTACGCATAAGTCACCTGTCGAATCTAGA